AGGGACCTCCAGAGCTAGAAGAGCCGGCATCACCCCGAGAAGCACGCCTCTCGGAACGACGCAAAGCACGGGATGCCAGGTGATCCATGAACGCCTCAGTTGGGGGCTCATACTGTGGATATTGAGCGGTATAAAACCGACTCATGCTTCTCTGATATGCAAGCAGCTCTTGCATCCCATCGCACACCTCCTCTAGTCTATCATCTACATCAGCCCTCCAGTGAGGCCAATCATCATGCCGCACTTCAGCAGCATCCTCACCCCCTTCTTCATCCACATACTCCCCGCCCATTTGAACATCGGGATTTTCCTCCCCCATGTTCTCAATTATCACTTCGGCATCTCCCAAATAGGGGGCAACATCCGGGTCGGGCGCAAGGAAAAAGTCTGCGGCAGCAGGGCCAAAAGGTAATGCTCGTCCCTCGGGACGAGGAATTCTTAAATAGTTCAAACCCTGTGGTCCGTATCGCCAGAAATAACTACCGACGACGGGGGAACGCGATAACAAACCAATCTTGACCAGAGTCATGATGTTATAAGTTAGGTACGTCGAATCTACTGGCACAAGATCTGCGGGGGGTGGAACATTTAAATAACAAGCGAGCAGGGAGACCATACCACCCATGCTAATGTGGCCACTTGAATTTGACCGCAGTTTCAGACAACTATCTACAAAAATATCGACCCAATTGGGGGTGCCGACACCCTCAGGGGTCATCGCCCACAAATAAGATAATGTAGCCTTGGGAACCTTAGTAGCTTCTCCTTGACATAGTATGGTGGACGAAATAAACCTATGAACGAGTCTAAGGCATGGGTGAGTGATCTTGAAGCTATGATCACCATGAGGGTCAACTTCACAACCAGTTATAGCCCTCCAAAATGTTCGGGACGAGTACGTGGTATAATCACCCCAATGGTTCACCAATGGGGGTGCATCCCAACCAAATGCCATTCGCATATCATCATAAGACATAACATAATTCCTATTATTCAAATTAAAGGATATTTGATCACGTCCTTTAGTAAGAGTTGAAAGGAATTCATAGGTATACCTGACATAGGTGGGGGCGCATTTGGTCATGAAATTCTCCAGACCCACTTTCCGTAGCAAGAGCCGCACTACTTCCTCCATGCCTAGCTCTTGCAAAGCTTCTAAGTCAAAAAACTTGGTGCATTGCACCGTTCGTCGTGGTTGTTGAAGCTTAGTCCATATCCCCTTCTCCTTGGAATTCAACCGCACACCCATGAATCCATCCCCTCGAGGCAATGGAGGTGCCTCACCTTGACTAGAAGAAGCACCTTGCTTCTTGCCCCTTGGGGGTCTTGATGGAGAGGATGCCTTAGACCTCTTGTTATCCCCACCCATGACTCTAATTGTATGCTTGTACCTTTACCTTCACTTTCAATTACGAGAAATTCAACTTGCACAACTGCACAACCAACTCAATGTCAAACTTGAAATCAAGAGAAAATGGAAAATCTAGGTTGTAATTGTGATGGGAATTGAGGAGTGGGTAAAAGGCAAGGACTTGGGAAAGGGAGATTGGTGCAATTGGAGTAAGGGGATGAAAGAATAGAGAGAAGGAGGAGAAAAGGAGTAAGGGTTTGTGGGAATTGGGGTTTACGAAAGGAGTAATGAAGGTAGAAGTTGGAAAGGGGGAAATAAGGGGGAAAAAAAATCGGGGAGGCTGGTGGAGCCGCTAGTAGCGGCTTGAGGCCCGCTGGCAGCGGCTGATACTGATTTCTTTTTTTTTTTTTTTTTTTTTTTGAGGGGGGGGGGGTGCCGTTGGTAGCGGCTCTGCAGCAGCTACCAGCGGCTGGGACAGAGCCTGGGGTTTTTGGGCTGCCTGAAGACCCGCTGGTAGCGGCTGCAAAGCAGCTGCCAGCGGCTGCAGAGCAGCTGCCAGCGGCTTCAGCAGGGAATGTCCCCTTTGGCTCTGTTTCAGCTTGTTTTTGCTGTGTTTCGGGCATAAAAGATGCTCCCGAGGCCTCCACCTACATAGAAACAACAAAAACACTCTTCACATCACAAGAAAAATTAAAAAAAAAATAAACTACGAAAAGAAATGGGGAAGAGTTTTCGATCGGGTTGCCTCCCGATTAGCGCCTTTGTTTTACGTCGTTGGCTCGACGCGGCTCATCCCACTTCGCTACTCCATTGATGGCTCGTAGAGATCGATGCTCTCCACGTTCTCGGTTTTGAAACCCTCGAAGTAGGGTTTGAGCCTTTGTCCGTTGACTTTGAAACCTTATCGGTCTCGAGGCTTTGAATTTCAACTGCTCCATGCGGATATACGTTCACCACTTGAAAAGGGCCCTCCCAACGGGACCGAAGTTTTCCCGGAAATAATTTAAGTCGGGATTGATATAGGAGTACTTTGTCACCGACTTTGAACTCCTTCCGCGTGATCATTCGATCATGCCATAGCTTGGTCTTTGCTTTATAAGTATCGGCATTCTCATAGGACTCAAGCCGGATCTCCTCTAGTTCTTGGAGTTGCAATTTCCGATGTTCACCCGCTTCATCCAATTGCATGTTAAATGACTTAACCGCCCAATATGCTTTATGCTCAAGCTCAACCGGAAGATGGCACGGTTTTCCGAAGATAAGGCGGTAAAGGGACATCCCGATAGGTGTTTTGTATGCGGTGCGGTACGCCCATAGAGCATCCTCCAACCTCAAACTCCAATCCTTCCTATCCGGATTCACCGTTTTCTTGCACAATTGACTTCACCTCTCTATTGGACACCTCGGCTTGCCCATTGGTTTGTGGGTGATAAGTCGTGGAGATTTTGTGGTGAACGGAGTACTTCCTCAACATAGCACCCACTGTATGGTTGCAAAAGTGCGTTCCTCGGTCACTTATCAACGCCCTCGGGATTCAAAACCTAGAAAATATGTAAGATTTGATAAAACCTGAAACCACTTTAGAATCGTCAGTCCTAGTGGGTATTGCTTCCACCCACTTCGACACATAATCACAAGCAAGAAGTATATAAGTAAAACCGTGAGAAATAGGGAATGGTCCCATGAAATCTATACCCCAAACATCAAATATTTCACAATATAGTAAAGAGGATTGGGGCATTTCACTTTTCTCGGAAATGTTACCTACTCTCTGGAAATTATCACAAGATTTACAAAATCCATAGGAATCTCGAAACAAACTTGGCCAGTAAAAACCACAGTCGAGAACCTTTCTTGCTGTGCGTTTGGCTCCAAAGTGTCCGCCACAAGAATGAGAATGACAGAAGGTGAGAATAGGGATCACCTCATTTTCGGGAATGCATCTGCGAATGATTTGATCGGAGCAAAACTTCCACAAGTATGGATCATCCCATGCATAGTACTTCGCATCATTTCGAAGCTTGTCCTTTTGAGACTTTGTGAAACCTGGAGGAAACTGTTGAGAAACAAGAAAATTCACAATGTTAGCAAACCAAGGCCGCAAATCCTTAAGAGCAAATAAAGATTCATCCGGAAATTCTCCTAGGAATTGGTATGGAAATGATGGTTGATCAACAATATGGGACAAACGACTCAAATGATCAACAACTAGATTTTCCGCGCCTATCTTGTCCTTGATTTCCAACTCAAACTCACATAAGAGCAGAATCCATCTTATTAGTCTTGGTTTGGCTTCTTTCTTCGTCATCAAGTGGCGAAGAGCTGCATGATCAGTGAAAACAATTACTTTAGTACCAAGCAAATAAGATCGAAACTTTTCTAGAGCAAATACTACAGCTAACAACTCTTTTTCTGTGGTAGTGTAGTTTTGTTGGGCTGAATTGAGGGTCATTGAGGCATAATAGATCACATGAGATGCCCTCCCTACTTTCTGGCCTAACACAGCTCCAACTGCATAATCACTCGCATCACACATTATCTCAAATGGTAGAGACCAATCTGGGGCTTGAGTGATAGGGGCAGAAATGAGCTTAGCCTTCAATTCGTCGAAAGCCTTCTTGCAATCATCATCAAAGTGGAATTTCACATCTTTCTGCAGCAATTTGCACATAGCATTCGCAAGCTTTGAGAATCCCTCAATGAACCTACGATAGAAACCTGCATGGCCAAGAAAAGAACGCACTTCACGCACATTAGTAGGATAAGGAAGAGACTGAATAGTATCAATCTTAGCCTTATCAACCTTAATACCTCTAGAAGAGACTACATGACCTAACACAATGCCCTGTTGGACCATAAAATGACATTTCTCAGAATTTAGGACGAGGTTAGAGTCAATACATCTTTTAAGGACCATAGATAAGTGATGCAAGCATTTATCAAAAGAATCACCATAAACAGTGAAATCATCCATAAATACTTCCATGAAATGCTCAACGAACTCAGAAAAGATGCTCATCATGCATCGCTGAAAGGTTGCAGGTGCATTACATAGTCCAAAAGGCATACGTCGATACGCAAATGTGCCAAAAGGACATGTAAAAGTTGTCTTCTCTTGATCTTCAGGTGCAATGGGCACTTGAAAGTACCCAGAATACCCATCAAGGAAACAGTAATAAGATTTCCCTGCAAGTCTTTCGATCATTTGGTCAATAAAAGGTAAAGGGAAATGGTCTTTCCTAGTTACTGCATTCAACCTACGATAATCAATGCAAACTCGCCAACCATTTTGAACTCTAATAGGAACCATTTCACCCTGTTGATTTTCTACCACAGTCACACCACTTTTCTTGGGAACCACCTGCGTAGGACTGACCCATTTACTATCAGATATAGGAAATATCATTCCTACTTGCAATAATTTTATGATCTCCTTCTTTACCACTTCCATCATGGGAGGATTCAGGCGACGCTGAGGTTGCCTCACAGGTTTGGCATCATGTTCTAGCAGAATACGATGCATGCAAGTGGATGGACTTATTCCCTTAATGTCTGCAATGGTCCATCCAATAGCTAACTTGTGCTCTTTCAGCAGTGTCACCAACTTGTCCTCTTGCTCCTTGGTCAATTTGCTTGAAATTATAACAGGTTAAGTATCGTTCTGACCAAGGAACACATATTTCAAATGATCAGGAAGTGGTTTTAGCTCCACCTGGGGTGCCTGCAAAACAGAAGGTAAGAGTTTATCAGTAGGCACTGTCAATGGGGTAGGTGTCGAACCTGGTGGTCTAAGTGGGAGCTTGGAATGGCTATTCAACTCTGCTACCATCATCTGCACACTATTAGGCAAAGGGATATCCAAACAATCAGCAGATAAATCATTAGAAATGGAAGTGAGGAGCGCATCCTCGCCCTCAACATCGAAGACATCCTGCACTATAGGATCAATGATATCAATGGAACACAAAGAATGAGTGTCAACAGGATATTTCATGGAATTATAGATGTTATACACAATTTCTTGCCCATCAAACTCCATAGTTAAAGAACCAGTAAAAACATCAATTTTAGTCCTAGAAGTTTTCAAGAAGGGTCTTCCTAACAAGATGGGAACTGCTTGTCTATCATGTTCCATATCAAGCACATAAAAGTCAGCAGGAAAAATTAGTTCATCAACTTTCACAAGCACATCTTCCACCACTCCCTTAGGGTAAACATTTGACCTATCAGCTAATTGAATCACTACCTCGGTTTCATGTAAAGGTCCAAGTTCCAAAGATTTGAACAGGGAATATGGAATAACATTAATTGATGCACCCAAATCCAACATAGCTCTATGAAAAGTGGTGTCCCCTATTGTAACTGGAACAGTAAACATACCAGGATCACTGCATTTTTCAGGAAGTTTCTTTTGGAAAACTGCAGAAACATGAGCACTCACTTTCACTTTTTCCTTCCCTCCTAACCTGTGCTTCCTCTTTATAGTACACAGTTCTTTCAAAAATTTAGCAAATCGAGGAACACTTTTTATTAAATTCAAAAGGGGAATGTTTACCTCACACTTGCTGAATGTTTCATAGATGTCTTTGTCTTTCTCATACCTCTTTGTTTCTTTCAAAGCTTCAGGAAAAGGTGGTGTGGGTTCATAAGATGGAAAAGTGGGAGGATTTGCTACAGCTTCATGTTCCACTTCCTTCTCTTCAGCTCCAATCAACTCTTCAGCCCTCTTGGTTGCAATTTCAGTCTCTTTCAGCTCCTTGCCACTCCTCAATGTAATAGCGTTGGCTTGTTGCTTAGGATTCAACTCCGTTTGAGATGGAAGTTTTCCTGAATCTTTAGCTTCAAGTCTGCTCACTGCACTTGAAATTTGGCTCACTTGACTTTCCAAATTCTGAATACTGGATTTGGTTTCTTGCTGGAATTGCACCATGTTTTGCTGCATAGTAGAAACATTAGAAGTTAGTGATCTAATCATTTCGTCAGTTGACATATTACTCGAATTTGAGCTTTGGCCTTGAGGTTTGGCTAATGGTGCCCTATATTGCTGATATTGCTGCTGGCCTTGAGCATTTTGCTGTTGTTGTTGGTTCCCCTGGGAATTCCCATATCTCAAATTTGGATGATCCCTCCATCCTGGATTGTATGTATTTGAATATGGATCATATCTTCTCTGAGGACCTTGCCCTTGGAAACCCATTGCATTGGCCTGCTCATTCTGCTCCTCTTGTAATTGAGGACATGCATCAGTGGGATGTCCCATGGAGGTGCATAAACCACAAGCATTCAGTTGCTGTGGATTCCTTGAGTTCACCATGAACTCACGCATCATAGAAGTCAAATCAGCTACTTGACTCTCTAACTCAGTTGTATTCGAATTTGCTAAATTCACCCGGCGCGTGGGAGTTCTCTGACTGAATTGCTTAGAATTTTCTGCTAGCTCTGCAATCAACCTAGTTGCATCTCCTGGAGTCTTATTCACTAGCCCTCCACCACTTGCTGCATTCACCATCCTCAAGTCATCATCAGTTAGACCTCCATAGAAGTATAGGATGAGGTCTTGATCGGAATACCCATGGTAAGGACAACTAGCACACAATCTCTTAAATCTCTCCCAATACTCATACAAGGATTCATCTTCCTTCTGATCCACATTGCTGATAGCTTTCTTAAGGCTTGCAGAAATAGTGGCTGGATAGTACTTCTCAAGGAAACACTTCTTTAAATCTGCCCAAGTTGTTATGCTACCTGGGGGAAGATAGTAAAACCAATCCTTTGCTGCATCTTTGAGAGAAAAAGGAAATGCTCTCAACTGAATTTGTTCATCAGTCATCCCAATCGGTTTCATGCTAGTGAAAACCACATGAAATTCTGCCAGATGTTTATTCGGATCTTCGCCTTTCATGCCATGGAATGCTGACAATAGATGAATTAGACCGGATTTTATCTCAACATTAGTACCTTCCTCCAATTGCTGATATGCAATGCACAACGGCTGTTGGTTCAAGTTAGGGGCTGTAAGTTCTCTTAGAGTTCGATTTTCAGCCATCTCCTCTTCTTCTTGAATATTGAAGGAGTACGTTGATTCACTGGGGGTTGTTCTTGCCTCTTTTCGCAACCTGGAAATATTCCTTTCAATTTCTGGATCAAACTGCAAAACTTCTTTGTTAGCAGAACGGGTACTTATCATACCCTAGCGAACAAACAAAGAAAGATATCTAAGAACAGTCCTAAAATAAATTCTACTAAGATAAACAATTAAAAAGTAACGCCTTAATTCCCCGGCAACGGCGCCAAAATTTGGTGTGCCTCAGTCGTATGCAACCAAAAATATCACAACTAAGCTAACTGCAAATAAACGTAGTTAGGGGAGTCGAGTTCGAATCCACAGGGAAAAAGGGACTAATAACTGCAAACCTAAGTGGAATTACTTTAGGAACGTAGTAATCTAAGTAACAAGGGGGTTTTGACAAGCAATGGTGACAATTAAACTAAATCAGAACAATGAACGTAAATAGTATGCGATCAATGAGAATAACGGTCTTGGTTATGCGAAATCCACAATTGAACATACAAATTGATCATAGAAGCCTCTTCAATCAAACACTATTTAACACCTTGTTGTAGAATTCTAAATTCTAAATTCTCATAAGCTAGTTAGAAATAGCAAAGCGCTCCTTTCTAACCCTTTCTAATGTATAATTTAAGACAAGCGCTCTAAATCATCCACAAGAAGAACATAAACGGAGAAATCAACAAGGATTGAATAAATTAACACAAGCGGTCTAATTTCTTCAATAATATTATTCCCTCTTTAAGTTATCAATCAAAAGCATGCATTCATAACCCAAAGTTGCTACTTTGGAAAGATTAATTAGATGCAAGCGAATCTAACAATTCTAACCTAGCAATTGATTAAAGCAAATCATGAAATAATTCAAAGGAATAATAAACATTCAATAGATAATAAAGAGAAGAGAAATCTCACAATTCGTAGCCAAAAGCTTCAATCTTTAACCAAGAATCCGGAAGATTAAGCTTCCATGGATTCTAATTCAAAAACAAAGATTTTTGAAATTTGCCAAGAACCCTAGAAAACTTTTACTTCTCTCTAACTTAATTCTCCTAATTAACCTCTTCTTTAACTCTTCATAAAAATAGACTATATATATGTTTCCATACTTAAATAATATCAAACAATAATAAAAATAATAAATAAATACAAAACACGAGCCAAGACAAAGCAAACTGCTGAAAAATAACCAAAACAGGCCCCGAAATCTGGAAGACCCGCTGCCAGCTGCTCGGGACCCGCTGGCAGCGGCTAAAGCAGCAAAACACTTCGTCCTCTCTTGCTGACCCGCTGCCAGCGGCTCTGGCCAGCTGCCAGCGGCCCTAGCAGCGGTTCTGCTGTCTTCTGCTGTCTTCTTTGCTCTTTCTTCTAGCTTTGCTTCACCTTTACTCAAGCTTTCTCCCTTGCTCTTCCAAGCTCCATCACGCTTCTCAAATCACGAGCTAAGGTCCATACTCTATAATCCTCCTCATTAGTTCCCGAACTCACTCACTAACACCTATAAATCCCGGCTTTTGCACACAAGTGAGATCACTGCCCGAAACTCACAAAAGCTATTAAAAACTCATGCACAACATCAAAACACACCCTAAAACTCTTCTCTCAACCCTTGATAAGACGGCTTATCATAGAGTAAGCTCTGGCGCCAGCCAACAACCATCAGCGCCAGCCGATGGAATTGGCGCTTGGCGCCAGACTTCCCTGGCAGGCGCCAACAGCAAATAAGCGGCGCCAATTTGCAGATAAATTCCAAGAAAATTTTTGTATTTTTCGGCAAATTTTCGACTTCCGTACTCGAAGAATTTCCGGAAAATTAATTTTTTTTTCGGTTTTCATTTCTTTAATAAAATAAATTTAAAGTAAATAATTTAATTAAAAGCTGAAAATTTCATTAATAAAATAAAATTACATTATTGATGGAATTTTAATAAAGCTGAAATAAATTAACTTTAAATGAAAAATATAAACTAAGTCTAAAAATTTGAAATTAAGCAATGCTCCTAAACTTTCTTTTCTTTCCAAGCCCTTTTCCAATTTTTGTCTGCTTCTTCCTCGTCATCCATAACCTTAGCTTTTTTCTCTGTGGTTTCAACTTTCATTTTCCCTTTATCTTTGGTAGTACTTTTCTTCCTAGGAATTGTAGGTGTTCTGAATTCAACTCTTGCACCTAAGCGGTTCCTTGGCAGGAATCACCCTGTCACCTAGACGACTCTTCACATCAGTTTTACCCTGATCTTTCTTCGAATCCTTCGAAGGTTTCTTCAGCAACCACGTCTTTACATCATTGGGCAAAGAAGGAGGAACCTTTTGGGTAATCACTTCCCATAAAGGTCTAGCACTCCAGTAAACATCAAATCTGTCTACTTCTTGGGAAACAGGGTACTCATAGGGAGGACGAAGATCCCCTGAAGGAATATTCTAAAGCAAGCCGTATTGTCTTTTTACCCTGTAGGGATAGTAATAAGTCATACGAGACAAACTTGGAAGAGGTAGAAAGGATGTTTGTTCACACCAACCATCCTTTCTATTTTCCACCTGGACGATCCACTTGATAGCAAAATTGCGAGATTTGAAGACCTTTCTCCACCCATGGCGCCCAATCTTAGGGAAGCGTTTCTTCCTCCTCACGAAGCAATTTGGAGTATACTTCTCAATATTGTCCGGAGGGCTAATTAATTCTAGCCTTTCCATTAGCCACATCTGTAAAAATCGCAATGCAAATAAATTTTATTACAATACAAAAATATTTTTCTACCTGTAATAAAATTGGAGAGCCGCGAAAAGGTGCTTTTGGGTTCCTTTTCAATTCATCAAGACTAATCATAGTCTCTCCAACTATCAATGGCATTGGATTTCTCCCTGATTCAATTTGTTCTAGTACGGTGGTTATAATTAATTGACCTTCATTATATTTACCACTACTAAGAAAAAATTGATTAAGCATACAAAATAAGAAAGCCCTTCTTATATATATATGAAAAGATTCAGAAAGAGGTTTATCAAAATAATGGCGTGCAAATTCTTTCAAATTAACTATGTTGCCATCTACTATTTTTGATAAATCCCTTTCTTTTAAATTAAAGAAGCGCTCAAAATCCTTATAATAATATGCGTCTACTCTAGGGATTACTATGAGGTCTGTTGCAGGGAAGCCTAAAATAGCACCAAATTCTTCTGGAAAAGGGCTAATCTCATCATACCCTATCCTAAAGCAATGAGTGTCAACATTCCAATATTCTAGAGCGATATGAATGAAATCTAAGTCAAGATCTACCCCTTTGATGGCATAAATATGCATAATATATGTGGACAAAATTCGCAAATATATAAGCTTACTCAAGTCTGGTGGCGAGGAATCGATCACTTTACAAAGCGTGGACCGAGGGAATCGTCTCCTCAATCGACCCATATGCACGAACTCAGTAGCATCGCAAAACCAAGTCAGTGGATCATTACTTGGGGGCTACTTAACGAGAGATAAGAGCTGAAAAGTCGTACCGCCACATTCTCAGTCGGTACAAGAACTAGAGCTAACAACGGCAGTACTCCTCTCTATAGCATCGCCCAGGGATCATGCAAGATCACCAAGGGGGACCAGTTCCCTCTGACATAATCAACAATCTAGCGGTGCCAGAACACTCAGCCACTCGGTGAGGTTGTTCTACCTTTTTGCAACATATTTTAGGTTCCTTGGTACGCTAGTTAGCCCCTCTAAGCAATTTGACATGATTTTTAGTAATCGGCTTGATTGCATAAAGTGATCGACCTGATGAAAGATCATCTCACTTAAGTTTAAAGCGCCTAAGCATTGGCTCATTCGCAAAAGACACCGACATAATGGTTCATTCGCAAAAGGCACCGAGGTACAGGTTCAAAGCAACGGAAGCGCCGACGTACAGGCATAGCGGAAGCAAAGTTCAGGCGATATTTTAAAGATTGACAAGCGGAGATCTTCGGTAATTTCCTTTGGAAAACTATCGCATCAAATGAGGATGACTTCAAGCGAGGATATCTTCGACGGCATTCCCTAGCTTGCGGAGAGTTGTCACAAACTATTGAAGGTAATTTCAGGCGAAGTTGTCTTCGATCGTGTTCCCTTAGACGTGGAAGATGGTCATAATGCGGAAGGAGATTGTTTCGAGAGAAATAATCTTCGATAGTATTCCCTTGGACGTGGAATATTATCAATGCGGATGAGGATTGTTTCAAGAGAAGCAATCTTTGATGGTATTCCCTTGGACATGGAATGTTATCAAAGCGGAGGAGGATCGTTTCAGGCGAAACAATCTTCCAAATTGGAAGTAGTTACAGGCGTAGCGGTTTTCAAGCGGGACGACATTCTCTAGCATGCAGGAAGTCATCAAAACAACATCAATGTAGCAGCAAATCGGTTACTTTCAGAGACGTGTGCTGGACGGTGCAAGATACGCGTTTCTTAA